AAATGACATTTAGGCAAATGTTAACTCAACTACATAATTTTTTTCGGTGTACTTTTACTCTTTTAGTGCAAACTTCTAGTGTAAATTAACACTAATATTTGAGTAAAACCTATTGGTGGTAGTGAATAAAACGAAAAGGTAAATAAAGAGAAACATTTATTTGGAACAAAAATCTACGACAATTATCAAAATCGGTGCCTTTTAAAATATAATTTAATATTTGAGTCATATGGCAGGCTTAAGCAAAATGGTTCCTTAAAACGTAAAAGTTTTAGATCAATGCAATGTTTTACTGGCTGTCAACTTGTAAGCAATGAATTATCTTGAGAATTCATCAGTAATCCATTTTTCTGTTATAAAAAATGGGTGATCCCATTGGTAGAGAGGCGTCAGGCGGCTGTATGTCGGGGATTTACCACAAGTGTACAAATTTTCCCTAATATTAATAAAAATATATTGATATATAATTTAGGTCGGGTATGGACATCCTTTTAACATATTGGTATTTATTGAGTATTAAGGCTTAAAGAAAAAAGAAGTATAATACTAACCAAAAAATAAGAATGCCCCCTTATGGATTCACCGTAATTAAAATCTAACTGAACAAAAATGCCACACTTCCACAACGCGGTATCTCCGGATATGCACTGCGTAGGTAGATAGGTACCAACCAAACATTTTAAAACGCATTTCGGTTATTACCAGTTTTTTCAGTGTATTATGCCACTATTGGTGTAATTTAACTATAATTGTGATACAATGTGCACTGGTAGTGTAAAGAAAAAAGAGCTCTTATAGTAACTCTTACTATAGTAACATCAAAACAGACAAAGAAATTGGCATGCACTGTAGTGTACATTTTGTCACTATTTAACACATTAAGGGGTAATAAACACTCGCATTAAGTTTTTCTACCCTTTTGATTTATTTTAATAATAAATAGTGTGAATGTACCAATAAATAATGTTCATATTCTTTAAATGTGTTTAATAAAGTTAAAAAGCACTAAATGTTACCTAGTGTATTTTGTAGTGTAACTTTTACACTTACAAATCAACTCTAATATTTTTACCCCTACACTAAAAAATTTACACAGGCAAAATTTTTACTGTGTATAAGAAAATCAATCTTCATCAAAATTCGTGCTTCTTTTAATTCCCATGTTATAATTTGAAATCAAATGTACAAGGTTCTTTATGTTTACTTAATTTTTAAACACCCCGTACATTCGATTAATTAAGGTAATCTTTTAAAAAAATATAAATTTTTGCTTATAAATTAACTGCCGCACAGTGTAATTTAAGCAATTTTGTATGCCCCCAACATCACTCATATTTTAAGACATACGTTTTAAAAACCGTGATACAATAACTTATTACCATATTACCCATTAGGCAGGCAAGGCAATTGCCTTAGGCGCCACAAAAAAATAGGCGCATTGTCCCCAACCAACTTAAAAAAATTGTTACCAAATGGTTTATTTTTCCAAAAAATAAAGCAAATAAACTATATACAATTATGAGAACGGTAGAGCACCGAATATTCTTTACTGTTTTTATTATTTTATAAAACAGCGACTTCCTTTGTAACGCGGTGTAAAGCCTTACATAAAACTACAGGGAATTAAACCTGTTTTACATTTTTTAAATACTTACTGCCCAAGTAGCACCACTGGTTAAATTAACGTTATTTTGTAATAAGTGGGGAATTTAATTATGGTAAAAACTCTTAAGTCAATTTAAGTTTATTTAAACTACCTATATATATATATATAAACTGCGCACCAGTCAATGTGTCGCGACCAAAAATTTCCTCCTTTTTCTAAACGACATAACTTTTTTGTTTCTTAAACGATTTTATTTTGGTTTGTGATGTCTGCTAGCCCCATTCTCTGGAAATTCATGCTATAGATATGAAGGTCACGGTTCTTTAAGTAAATTTCCTACAGGGTGATATGTAAAACGGTGAAAAATTTCAATAACTTCATCCAAGCCCCGTTTGTAAAAAAAATATTTTTTTCTCGTTTTTACTTTGAAATAATGAAGTATTATGTCTTACCTTAAACCGTTTTTCAAATTTCTGGAATTGGAATCTTAGCAACAAAAATATGATTTTTTTTTCAAAAGAGTACATTTGATGCTTTTTTGTAAGCAATACACTGAGCATTTTTAAGATAAAAAAGATAAGATGGTGAAATATTATTCCTTGAATAATTCTGAACAAGCGACAAGCAACAAACTTCCATTATTTTCAGAGGGACCTAAGCAAAGACCACTTTTTCAAAATGACATTTTGGAGAAAATTTGCGAAAACTAAACCTGTACCGATATTTACGTTCGTGACATGTTTGCTTTATAATTTTGACCTCCTGATGTGATTCAGTTGTCAAATTTAAGTTTTAGATGAAACCAAAATCACCAAGAATCAAAATTCGAACACAATTCCCGGTGTTAAATGTCTCAATAGCATGCCTTTGCCAATACCATTTGGGGATTCATTTTTTGTTTGAGTGGTTAATGTTACGTAAATTACATTTATATTGCGCACTAGTGATAACTTATTACTGATAAGTACCTACCTAATTGGTAATAAAGTTAAATACAAAATTTATTTGTTTATTTTTGAAAAAAATATTTATTTTACAAACGGGGCTTGGATGAAGTTATTGAAATTTTTCACTGTTTTACATATCACCCTGTAGTTAATTTACTTAAAGAACCGTGAGATTCATATCTATTGCATGAATTGCCAGAGAATGGGGCTAGTAGACAACACAAACCAAAATAAAATCGTTTAAGAAACAAAAAAGTTATGTCGTTTTGAAAAAGGACGATATTTTTGGTCGCGACACATTGAGTGGTGCGCAGTTTATATATAATTATAATTTACCAAATATGGTTATTTACTCTCTTGAAATGAAATAGTAAAAATTCTACTATTTGAATTAGTATCGGAATTGTTTACTAATTAAATAGTCGTTTTTACTTTTAAATATTTATTTTTTACTATAGTATACTTAATTTGTTAAAGTTTGACTAATTTAAGATAAGTCGCCATATTTTACTGGTACTGAGAGTAACTGATTCCTTTAATCGTTTTTAATTCTTGCGGCGTTAAATGCATATAGGCTCCATGGTCCATAAAAATAAAGATGCAAAAAGTTTAGCTCCAACAAAAAAAAATATATTCAACTTTAACAATATTATAAACAATATTTATTGACAGATATCATAAATTTAATAAGTAGCAGTGGTGCGTCTAGTAATTTGACTGTTTCATTCCGTAGAATTTGACTAATTATAATTAGTGACTGCTAATAATTATTAGTGACTGCTTTGTCGCTATGACAATAATTCAAATAGGACTTATAATTAGTCATTTTTGACTTATTCATTTTAAGAGAGTATATCTATAGATATTACTTACAGACTAAATCAAAATATGTCTAAAACAATAACTCATCTTAAACATTTTTAAATTATGTTTTATATGTATTTTTTATAAAAAATATTTTAATTTAAAAGGGATAATAAGGTAAGTATGCCCGGGCGCCCTTAAGCTACCAGATTGTATAGTATAAGTATATTTCCAGTAATAGGCGCCAAATTTTTAAGTGCCTAAGGCGCTTGATTGCCTTAAGCCGGCCCTGACAATAAGCCACCCTGTATAAGTGAGAGAAGAGAGCATAAAGGAGTTTTATTCTACTTTAGAGTATTTTTCGAAAAAGTTACACGTTTGAACAGTTCGAGGTGTGAATTAAAACACGCACTGGTCACAAAACACGAACTAAACTATTTATTTTATAACTTAAAACAATAAGAAACTATAAAACTAAATAATCACTTAACTAATAATTATTTATATATCACTACCGTACAAGAGTCTATTTATTTGCAGGTATATTTATTTTATTTCGTCAAGAGTGAGACTGTTTACTAACCTTTCAAAAAGGAATGTAATACTTCAGCCTGAAGTCTTTAGGACGCCAATGTTTTAAAATAAAAATTAAACAACTAGTTCAGTACCCTAGAGAGAAAATCTCTAGCAACCACTACTCGCGTAAAATGAGCGTCCTTCATAACCCGTTGAACTGTGAACGGGAAATTCGCGTGTAACTTCCCTTATGCTCTTCCTACTATTTGCATCAAATAGCTTTTTTATTTTCCGCTGTTCTAATACGTCACAATGAAGTGGATTCTAGACAACCAAATATTTCACATATTATAATATCAACATTGCACATTAGTATCCTAGCAATTTAAAGAATTTCCTATGGCCATGTATTGGAATTGGGTATCGTTTTTTATTCTTATCTCGCTTATCCTTTGCGTTAGATAATTTTAATTTTCAAGTATGTGTTTCGCATAACTTTCGGCATAGAAAGAAAAAAAATCCCTTTTCCACCCTTTATTTTACATACTTTTGGTAATGATTAGACCTGTGACAAAAAAGGATTAAAAGTCATTAAAAATCGAAATTCGTTACCAAATCCTTGGAGCTGTTGATTGTATTTGGAATTACCCTATACAAAACTAATAATTCAATGCAAATTTTTAGATAAGGTTTGCATATTATTTTAATATAAACAAATACACAAGGTACACTGCTTAACACATTTATTGTCAAATACACGACGTTGCTGATATCAAAAAGGATTACTATTTTTTTCTTAAAATTTTAAAATTCTATAGTAATTTCGTGCTAGTAGGTCAAAACAAGGTATGACCGATGTGCATTAAAAACTATACGTGGTAGAAAAAAGATCCAACGGGCTTAGATTAAGCACTAAAAAGTAGCACCAAAAACTCTTAAAAAACAAAACATAACATTTTATGCAGCACTGTGTTTTTCTTTAAAATATCCGTATTGTATTTTTTCTATTTTTAAAACTTAATTTTATTTTCAGATAGTGTAACTAGTTATGATATTTAAAAAATTAAGGATATACGGTTTAAGAATATTTAAGTATAATAACAAAAATATATAGATAAAGTAATTCTATTTAACATAACAATTCCTTATTGCCAAGCATATTACATTTGGTTCTCAGGTAAATTACAGCAAAATTAAAATGTTTATTGTTAAGTTTACTTATTTTATGCTTATATTAAAATATGTGTCTGGTCAAGATTTAAACGAGGTAATTCAAGATTATAAAAATAAAATTAACAAAGCTTTTGAGGATGCTAAAAAATATAAATTTGATACAGACGCTTATAAGTATAAACCAAATAACAGTGATGAAATAAAAGGTAATGTATATAAAAACCTCTGTCTTGATAAAGAAATTGGGTAGCCTTACAACTCTAAAATGCAGTATATTCAATTTTTAAAAGTATTAAGGGACAAAATATCATTTTTGTTGTTTATAACTATCATCCTGAAATCCTGGAATATGGGTGGATGCGGTAGAAAATTTGTTGGTACCCGCTTTGTTTATCAGGATTTCACCAAACAATTTTGAATAAACTAACTTAAGTTAACAAGTCACCAGTATTTTTGAGACTTATTTGACAACCATAAAAATGATTACCTTATTTCAGAATTTGGAGATTTTGACTACATCATAATTGGGGGTGGAACGACCGGATCTGTTATAGCAAATCGACTTTCAGAGACAAAAAATATTAGGGTTTTACTTTTAGAAGCAGGGGGAGAACCAAATGTATTAACTGAAATACCGATATTTTGCAATGAGGCCCCATTAACCGATGCAAATTGGGGTTATTATACGACCCCACAGAAAGCTGGATGCCAAGGTAAATTACAAAATATTTGGAATGGTGAAAATATTTGTTATTTAAATTTAATGGGGAATTTGTTATTTAAATTTACAATTATCTATAGATAATGATTTGTGTGTCATTTAAGTTAAATATTGTAATTTAAAATTGCAATTTTTTTGCACCGATTGAAAAGTGCAGGTTTTATTTAGTCTTATATTAACTTATTGTTCAGGATTTTAGTAGATACCCAAATTCTTTCCAACAATTTTAGGTCTTGCGTCATTATTAAAATCTTCCTAATAAAAACGGATCTAAATTAGTTTAAATCAGTTGGTTTATTTAAATTTCCTCATCATCAGAAGGGATAATATTTGGCATAAGGAAGTATGATAGAATTAGTTACACCCTAATAAATAACAAATGGTTGAATACGGAAAACAGGCGCAAAATGCATTCAATTTGTTTCTTTCAGAACCTTCTTAAAACTAAGGCACCAGGTTACTTAAATCAAAAAGTTTTGTACCGTACTAATATTCATACTATAAATATTAGATTTAAAAACGCCATAACAGTACCGATTCATCATACTGAATTATATAAAAGGTCTTTTTTATATCCTTCCTAGCATCGTTAATGGCTTCCCAATTAATTTATGGTGTAATATGTTGAAATGGTCACATTACATTTACATATTTACATATAACATTTTTAATGTTTAAATTCAAATTCCGCCATTTGGAATAGTGTATTTCCTTATTTCAATAAAGACGTTTATTATTATTATTATAATTATTATTTGTTTGGAAATTGGCAAAGTTTCCTATTTAAAATGCCTTTGTCTCTATCCGATTCTATCATCATAAAGACAGTTGATGAGTTCTTGATTGTGTTAGAAATATTGTTTTCTAGGGCGTCCTCTTGATTTTTCCTTAAAAGATGTTGGTTATGAAGTCCCCAATTTCTGTGCTCTTGTGTATTTTCTCTAGTACCTACTTCGCACTCGCTTATTGCTTTTTCTTTCTATCCATCTTGCCTTTGTCATTCTTCTCCTCATCTAGAGATGCGACTTGAAAAAAAACGGTCCTTTTTTTTGTTTTTTTCAGGTTTTTTTTATTGTTTTTTTTTAAATGGTTTTTTTCACATTTTAGGTTTTTTTTCAAGATTAGTCCCATTTGCCTAATTTTTTATGTTTCCAATCCAGTTCATGGACTAAAATTAGCCACTAAATGACAATTAGTAAATGTAAATACAGTATCGCGCTATGCACGCGCCACCACCACCGAATTGACCAATAAGGGCCGCGGTTGTTTTGATATGGTCCTAAAAAAAGTAACTACCTATAATATTTTTGATTCAGCGCTTGATTTTTCAAAAAGCTACCAAAAGCACTTTTTTCATGATTTTTCAAATTCATGTAGAGTATGGCATTTTTTTATAAAACAATAGCAAATTCTTGTAGAACATTTATTCATTGGTGGTTAAGTCAGAACATTCCGTGAACCAGAAATCCAAAAAAAATCGATTTCTTTTATTACGGTATTCGTTAGGATTGAGCGTTGCACATTTTTCATCTAAAATCTTAAAATTAGAAACTTCAAAAAAAATTTTATCCTTTATTTTTTTGTATTAGTGTAGAAGTTTTACATTGCTATTGGTTTCTAATGTGGAAACTACCAAATAATAAGAAATCAGATTTTTTAGTCCTCGGTCAAAATTTTCAATAATGAAAAATGTAATATATTCTACATTTCACTTTATAATTAATATAAATTTCAATTTGAAAAAAAAAACAAAAAAAACCGTTTTTTTACATCTCTATCCTCATCCTCATCTCTACTGCTTCCAGATTATCTATCTTTTTTTCTATCGCTGCCATATGTCAATACACTCTTAGTATATGTCTTAATATTTTTTTTACTATATATTAATGCTATTCTCATTCTTCCAAGGTAGCAGAATTCTTGGACTAGTTTTAGCCCTGTATTCCTTGTTTTATATATATATATTTCTTTCAAAATGAATTAGTTAAAAATGACTAATTGTCATAGCGAAATAGCAGCCACTAATAATTCTCGTCAATAGCAATTTGTATCCCGAACATTTAGCAGTCAATTTCCATCTAAAATTGTCCCCTGAATCCGAAAAGGTCGTCAAAAGTTAGAAAATTAGTACTGTTTTTGAGATAAAGTTAATTTTCCATATTATATGGAATTGACTATATCTCAAAAACTGCTCTACTTTAATAATTTTTTAAGGATTTTCGGATTCAGGAGACAATTTTACACAAGAATGGGCTGTTAAATGTTGGGGACACCATGGTTAAGCATGGTATAAATGTAAATAACTGTAGTAATTAGTCATTTTTGACTAATTCATTTTTAGAGAGTGCATTTTACTTACGAGCATTGATTTGGTTTTCATACCATGCACTTGTTAGAATGTTTAGTTCTTTATATCTCGCTCAGATTCTTCCAAGGCCATCTTGTTTTCCATTACATATTAATGGATTGGGCGACAAAGCACCTGTCTATTCCTATTCTTGCTTCTTTTACTTTCAGCAGTTATAGTACTAACAATTTACTATTTATTTAAGGTTACATCAATAGAGCATGTCCCGCTGCGAGAGGTAGGGGACCTGGAGGAACCTCATTAATAAATAATGCGATATATTCCCGAGCAAACCCAAAAGATTTCGACCGCATTGCAAATCTAACAATTCCAGATTGGGCTTATGACAACATACTAAAATACTTCAAAAAGTCTGAAAACTTCACCAATATAAACCCGATTGCAACTGTCGACCTAGACTTTCATGGCAAGAATGGATTGTGGAACATCGAAACGGTGGACTTGCAAGTTATGAGGAATCCTAAAATTGACAATTTTATGAAAGCAAATTTGGAGTATGGTTTAAATAATACGGATTATAGTAGTGATATTGAGGAGGGGCTATCATACATACAAGTTACGAAAAATCATGGAAAAAGGGCTGATACCGGATCAGCATTTTTGAATCCCATTGCAAATAGAAGCAACCTTGTGGTGTCCCTTGAAAGTTTCGTGATTAAAATAGAAATTGATACAGAAACCAAAGAAGCTACAGGTGTTCTTTTCACCAAAAATGGATTTCTTTATAGGGCTAAAGCCAGATCAGAAATTATTCTTTCAGCTGGTACTTATAATTCACCCCAAATATTACAACTTTCAGGTATTGGCAGATTATCCGAATTAAATAGACTTAAAATTCCAGTAATCAGTAACTTACGCGTTGGGGAAAATTTGATAGATCACCCGCTGTTTTTCATTTACATTACACAAAACACAACAGATCCTGATCTGGATTTAGATACTGCAATAAGGAACTATTTATTGGACAAAGGTTTATTCACTTCCTGTGGTTCAGATGGTGTTGTTTTCTGTTCTACAAATTTCGATGACTACCCAGACCTGGAATATATCGTACAACCGAATATAAAACGACCCCTACCAAGCCTATTTTCAAGATTTCTGAAGCCTACAAGTCAAACTTCGAAGGATTTAAAGCGATCCTTTTCGGAAGGAAAATCATTTAAAATTGCTGGAGTACTTTTAGATCCCAAATCAAAGGGAACCATAAAGTTAAAGAGCAACTCGCCATATGATTACCCTTTAATAAACCCAAACCTACTCACAGAAAATGAAGATTTAGAAAAAATGTACTACCTTGTAAACCTAGTAAAAAACCTAACCAAAACCGAAGCGTTTAGGAAAATCGACGCGAAAGTGGTAACTCAAAACTTTAAAGCCTGCAATGGACACAAAAAGGATTCCAAAAAACATTGGTTATGCATCATAAAGCAGTTAACGATTACGATTTTTCATCCGATGGGCACATGTGCGATGGGTGGAAGCGCAGAGTCTGGAGCTGTTGTCGATGGTAGATTAAAAGTTTTCGGTGTCAAGAATCTGAGAGTGGCTGACGCGTCAGTGTTTCCGTTTCCTGTAAGAGCCCATTTAGTCGCCAACTGTGTTCTCATCGGAGAGGTAGTTTCTGATTTTATTAAAAAAGGATTTTAAACCAAAAATTAATGAAAAATAAAATAATTTGAAATTGTTGTTTCATTATAAAACCTTCATTATTTTAAGATATTCTAAAGAAATTTAAGTGGAATATAGGTGTAGAACATAAAGATAATAGTATATTATGTATCAAGTTTTATAAATGCCACAAAACAGAATTTAAAGCCAATTTTATTTGTTAAAATTTTGACATCTGTCAACTGTCACCCGAATTTAACCTCACTTTTTCCCAATTTATAATAAAGCTAACTTCAGCCCGTGACGTAAAATGTCGAAAAGCCACTGTTGTTAACTTCAGCCCGTCAATAAAACGCCATAAAGTGACAGCTCGTCCATGTACGAGTAGATAAAATACCTTATCTACTCCCACATTGACATTGACCTATGGCTTTTTAGTCACGGTGTGAACTTGTGAGGTTAAATCCGTCTGTCAGTTGTCAGAACTGTCTTTTTAGTGTTCGTAGAAGATAAAGTACACTGTTATAAAAATTTGTTAACATGAGTTTGTAGTTTGTTAATTTTATTTTGTAAAATTTTAACATAACTTTTTGTAGAAAACCAGGGTTTGTAATTATTTTAACAAAGGAAAATATTTTACTGAAAGTTTTGTAAAGGTAATATGCAATTTTTCTAAGCATTTTGTTAATTTCAAAGGTTACAGATTAATGTTTAGCACATTATTTCGATAAAAAAGTACACGTGATTTCAGGCAGTCAATCAAAACATTTCCCACTGACAATACGCATCAACAAGTTCAACTGACTTCAGTGTCTGTAACTTATGTTTCTGCTTACTTTATTCTAATTCGTAACGTGTTCGTAACAACTGTCCAGAGTGTTTATAACATATTTCCAGCAATCTGTTATTATTGTTATTCGGATTTTTATATCTATTTAACGATTGTGTGAAGTATCCGAAAAAACATGGTTAAAGTTACGAAATAACTATTGTAGTAGTATTGATAAATTTCTTTATACACAGTAAAAAAAATCTAAAACTCTAAGCAACACTAATTAGAGTTCACACAGGTCCATACTAACTAGTGTTGTTTTACAACACTACAATTAGAGTTAATTTGTAGTGTAATTTTTCCCAAGTAAGCAAGTATGATTAACACTATATATATATATATATATATATATATATATGCTATAGCACTGAGGATAAAGTAATTTTACACTGTATTAAAAAGTGTTAATTTACCTAAAATCGTGTACTTCTACACTTCCTTGATAAAATCCCACTTTTGTTCAATGTAAATTAACACTACTTTGGCAAAGTTCTAATTTTAGAAAGGTACTTTTACTCTTTTAGTGCAAACTTCTAGTGTAAATTAACACTATTATTTAAGTAAAACCTATTGGTGGTAGTCAATAAGACAAAAAGGTAAATAAAGAGAAACATTTATTTGGAACAAAAATCTATGACAATTATCAAAGTCGGTGCCTTTTAAAATATAATTTTATATTTGAGTCGTATGGCTGGCTTAAGCAAAATGGTTCCTTAAAACGTAAAAGTTTTAGATCAATGAAATGTTATACAGGCTGTCAACTTGTAAGAAATGAATTATCTTGAGAATTCATCAGTAATCCATTTTTCTGTTATAAAAAATGGGTGATCCCATTGGTAGAGATGCGTCAGGCGGCTGTATGTCGGGGATTTACCACACGTGTACAAATTTTCCATAATTAAAAAAATGTAGGTACCTATAGGTAAATATAACAATCATTACGCTTGAAAATAAAAACTAATTCAAGTGCGTATGTATTTATATTATTAATGTTACAAGTACCCGACCTACTGCCGTAAATATTTGATATATAATATAGGTCGGGTATGGACATCCTTTTAACATATTGGTATTTATTGAGGATTAAGACTTAAAGAAAAAGGAAGTATAATACTTACCAAAAAATAAGAATGTCCCCTTATGGATTCACCGTAATTAAAATCTAACTGAACAAAAATGCCACACTTCCTCAACGCGGTATCTCCGGATATGCACTGCGTAGGTAGATAGGTACCAACCAAACATTTTAAAACGCATTTCGGTTATTACCAGTTTTTTCAGTCTATTTTGCTACTATTGGTGTAATTTAACTTTAATTGTGATACAATGTGCACTAGTAGTGTAAAGAAAAAAGAGCTCTTAGTAACATCAAAACAGACAAAGAAATTGGCATGCACATTTTGTCATTATTTAACACATTAAGGGGTAATAAATACGCATTAAGTTTTTCTACCCTTTCTAAATAGTGTGAATGTACCAATGAATAATGTTCATATTCTTTAAATGTGTTTAATAAAGTTAATAAGCACTAAATGCTACCTAGTGTATTTTGTAGTGTAACTTTTACACTTACAAATCAACTCTAATATTTTTACCCCTACACTAAAAAATTTACACGGGCAAAATATTTTACTGTGTAATTTGATGATTTCAGAATTGTGTGTTGTTTTTTTAATTAAATCTACAAAATGTTTGTTATAATGACAAACTACTTATTCAATTCTTTAACAGATTACTGTTGGTTGTAAACTTAACATAAAGGTATGTAGTACTGGATTAACATAAAATCTGGTTTGGTTAAAATTAACAAATTTGTATATTAAACTATGTTATGTTTTATTAACTTCTCTAGACAATCGTTTTTATTAAACACTCGCTCGAAAGCTTCACTCGTTTAAAACTACGTATATATTTATAGTTAATGTATAAAACAAGTTTTCTTGCACAGAAACACTGTATCAAAATGTAACAGATCAAGGTCATGAGTTAAAATTTAAAACCTTGTTATTCTTAAAATTATAATAATTGTTTTTTAAAATAAAAAAAGAAGAGTTAAATACTTAAAAATAACCAGCAAGGTTGCATATCTTACCAGTTTTCATTGAAAAATTAATGCGTATAGATTAATCCATATTGGGCAAGTATGTTGTTACAGGAAATGCGTGCGCAAAAGTTTATTTAATTTAAATTTATAATGTTAAGGGGTGTTCAAAAATCAAAAATGTAAATTATGTGAGAAAACTACCAACTGTATAAATAAATGATATTTAGCTCTAAACAAGCAAAATGTAGCTAATGAATGTCCCTTTAATTGAAGGAAAATTAAAAAGTGAACTCTAAAAAAAATTTGACGATACCATAAATTATAAAAGTACTTTGTAAACGTATACTTTGGTGTAGAATATTGAATGTCTATAATTTAGAAACCTTATATTTATTACTAGGTGCACTACTGTGATTATAATCAACATAGGTATACAGTGTATTTTATCAATTGATTTATAATTTAACGTCACGCGTATGTATGTTATTGTGCTTTAATTACATATAGATATGTAATAATTAATACGAAAAGTTTTATCAAACTTCGAGGGCTAATATGCAACTGTAATGGTAAAATAATATACATTATGCACAACTTGAGTGACATTTAATGTCACAATCACACGTTTTGTGGTATTATCTTTTGTTGTTTATGTGAATCAAATTTGATGAAATTTACTAATAACACGTTCTTTGCTGTGTATTTATAGATATCGATCATTGTTTTATTGAATTATTTCTTACTTCTTCTTAAACATATTTTGAGTGATTAAAATATTCCTAAAATAACCCACGTTCAATTTGTTGAGTCTTGTAATTTGTTTACACTAATTAAGTTTTTAATTAAATCAATATATCCTAGTAAATTCTATAAAACCTTTAAAACAAATTTGCATGCAAATTTTACTGGGTAGACAAAGGATTTTGATACAGTCCGATAGGTGAAAACACTTTATTGTTACAGCGGTGTAAACTGTAAAGATAATTGGAAAATCTAATGTATTTTAAATCTAATGATAACAAATCATTTAACCCTTAACTAGTCGCGCAGGTGCACCGAGTGCTCCGTTTTTATTAAAACCTCTATAACTTTTTGTCGTTTTCTTGGAATTAAATGCCCTTTCCATGTAACCTATGACTGATTTGTCTACCATGCACTGTCGACGGCATATTCAGTTTAAACTACTAATTTCAAAGTTATGGACAGAAAACTTGAGATTGATTTAGAAATACTAAAACGTAACTAAATTTCAATTTTTGCAATGTAAAATATTTCTAAATCAACAAAATATGGAATTTAAAACCTTATGGTTTTTAAGGTATACATTTTTCTAAGAATACACAAATAAAAATAGAACGGCTAAATTTCATTCTGATTTTTTCTTTTCTGAGTAGAAGTAATAACTTTTTTGTTTGTTTTATTTTTTGTTATTTGCTTTTTGTTTCTTTTTAAAATAAATATTGTGTTTTAATTAAAATAGAGTTAATTCATCCGAATATAAGCAAAAGTAATATTAAAATTGAAAACATTCAGCAATATAGCCATTTTAAGGAGCGGAGCACTTAGTGCACCGCGCGACCACTTATGTTACAAAAATTGGCGCGAGTAGTTAAGGGTTAATAAACTTTTTTTACTCCCACCTTTAAAACGACCATTATCGTACATGTTTCCATAACACTAAGTGACCTTTTAAATACACATTGACAAGTTGTGGCTTTACGGCGTTTTAGTCACGGGCTGAAGTTAGCAACATGTTTTTAGTCACGGGCTAAAGTTAGTTTTAGGTTAGTTGACAGTTGTCAAATGTCATACAATTTATTAAATAAAGTACCTTTCATGTAAAATAATACTAAATCTAAAAATTATTTTATTATCTCAATACAAAAGTATTAAATAGTTTCTCAACGCCAATATTTGAAAAGTTTATATGAACATTGTACTGACCTTTTAATTTCGCCGGCAGTAAACTATAACTTAAATTTGGACTCCACTGTAAAGTGCTCATAAAACATTTTCTTTACTTTCTTACTACTCTTATAAAAAAATGTCCATTTTCAAGAAATACATTACGATTTATAACCTTTATAATCTGTTTATAAAATATAAAAATTTGACTTTTGACGGTGACACACAGATTCCCTTATTGTTTCATAGATGGCGCTCTATAAAAATATTTGATTTAAATCATTTTAGGATAAT